CATCTGGCCTCGAAGGTTCCAATGTTGTCATCTTGAGTATACTCCTGGGTATACTTTTCAATAGTACTGTAAATGTCTGTAACCTAATAGAAAATACATAGAATAGAGTATATTATAATATGTATATTGGCTATGTACACATATTTCATATTCATGATATTGTACATATTCAGTACATAGTTACTAGAATAATTTTCCCACAAAAATTGTATACAATCGTTTACACATAACATTTCCTATTTCTTATACGTATGTATGTATTTTCTAGAATTCTCTCACCTAGGTGTCAGTTTTCCCGTGTAAGCCTGATGTAGTAATACTTACAAAGCAGCTTATAAGCAGCTCATGTTCTAGTCGCAGACGTGCGATGGGTAGACTATCTTACATCTAGTACGTTAAAATGGAGGAGTTTTTTTTTTTTAAATACCAGTTTAGTCATGAAATTCTATTTGTTGACTTAATAAATTTTAAAATAAAATCATTGCACGACATCCAACAGATTTACCCTGTGTGTTTTTGTCCGCCGTACGAGGGCAGGGGAAAGGGACAAAGAGGGTAAATAGAACATTGCTGGGCTGGTTTTCGATTACTATCCGACCGACCGAGGCTTATTTCGAATTCCGATCAGTCCCAAGACGAGGCCTAGGAGGGTCAAAAAATTAACTTCTACAGTCAACAAGTTATACGTGCCCGCCAGTATTGATATATGGGTCAGCGTTCGCCGAGGCCATCCACAACAGCTGCAGAATAAATCGTTCCATGGAGAAAACGAAACAACACCGTACGACAGACATTATCATAATGAATGATCTCTTGATTTTTTTTTGTTTTTTTTATTTAAACACGGGCTTCGACTTCAGAGGTCATTATTAGCCATAAATTTACAATGTTCTTATTTACACGGTTTAGTCAGAACTATAGTATATAATATAAATAATATTGTTTACATTTTGTCGTACAGTTGTATAGTTTTAAAAAAATTGATTGTTTTTGCTGCATTGTGAGGTTGGTTTCCTAGTGTTTCTTGTCGGCATTTCCAGTTCCTCTCTTGTTTCGTCATGTTTGCGACACTCCAGTATTATGTGTTCAACAGTATTATCGGTACCGCAAGTAACACATGGCTCAGGGTCTTTACCTTGCATTAGGTGGTTATGGGTATACCAAGTGTGGCCTTTTTTTTAAATACATTTTTATGTTTATCGTTTTGTTCACGTTGTAAAAAAACCCGTCTGTCGTTTTCATTTGCACAGGGTGATCACTTGAAGAAACGTAAGACGCTAAAAACCTCTTTAGGTTCAGTGTAAAATAACAATACAATATCGAGGCCGATAATACATTTTTTTAACGTTACGTTTCAATTAGAATAAAAGAAAACACAGTTGGCGAATTTTTATCAGCGTATACAATTTATGCTATCAGATAATTTATCCTTATCAATCGCCATCATTCTTATCACTATAATATGTCTTATCAAATACTATAAATGATAATGCCGGAAAGCTAGGTCAAATTTTCATGTAAAGTAAAAAAAAAAAATGTAATAATTTGGAAATGAAACAATCTAATTAAATGATTTAACTTAAAAGCCACAGCAGCTCAAAACGCTTGGCACGTCTCGTTAGTGTTGAAAACGTATAATTTCATCTGCTATTCACGTTTTCTAACACCGACACGTTTTCCGTTTTGATTGCGGATTAATCCGATTGCCTTAGTAAAAGTCGCACTTATATAATAAATAAAACGATAAAGCAAACGCAGTTAAGAGTATAAAAAAAAAAACCATTTCATTACTTTATTTTTAGCCAAGATCCGGACCTTAGAGGTAGAGTTGTGCATCATTCGAATGAAACGTTATCACTTATCTGAACAATCTAAACGAGTTATATGAAGACAATTTTTACCTTATGCCTATAACATAATATTATAACGATGAACACAAATAAAACTGTGCTTTTTGCACACACAAAACATCATTAATTCGGTTTTACCAACGCGATTGTTGCAAAAAAAAAATGTTTGCAAGAAAAATACAAAATGTATGTATTAAACGGGGAAATCTAAATAATAAAAACTCGGTGTGTTTGTGGAGAAAAAAAACGGGTCAGCACATATACACACACACGTATATTTACAACTGTCAAGTACCATTCTTTGGAGACAACCTCTTTCTGTGCTACTAGAATGGAGTAAGTGCGCCGACGGTAGACACACTTGATATCTAAAAAAAAAGAAAGTATATATATATATATATATATATGTACATCCATCCGTCCTCGACACTGACAACAATACTCGACGTTCTGTCGCATCTTTATTTCTTTTTTTTTTTTATCATTATTATTATTCTTTCGAATAAACTCCAAGAGAACTAAGCTCTCGTTTCACTAATGACCGTGGTATTTCATCCGGCAAAATCCAACTAATTCGTGTGTTGTGTAACGATCAATTAGGTCGAGTCTTGTACTCTTCCCCTCATCTCCCTACACTGTAGACAACGCTATTAAGTCGTTGATAACGACCTGCCAACAGAAATGGACGATTTCCTGATTTTTAGGCTTTTGAAAATGCCAAGCAAAAAAGTGTCTTAAGAGTAGGATTCTTAAAAAGTATGTGTTGACTTTTCAATCTGCCCATCTCTGGCCAATGAAATTTGTTCAACAAAATATAGTTTCCAGTTTCTGGTTATTTTCAAAGCAAGCGAATTTGTTTGTAGAAGAAAAAAAAAACCATTTGGGAAGTGTACTTGCTCAACACTGATTTTCAACGGTACTTGCAACAACAATATAAGTACCTACTCGGTTATTATATGTAAGTTTTCCACCTTAAGAATAGCTCGAGATTGTGTTCCGTCCAAAATTTGACGTTTGAAGAACTCTCCAAGAAAAACCCTATTACTTTTTTTTTTTGTAATTTACAACACTGAAAGACATTCTCGGTGACAAATCGTGGAACCTTAATATAATATAATATTAAAAAAAAAAAAACACCATTACACGCTTTTGCCGGTCGACACTTGTGTTTGGCAGCTGTGAATTCACACTCGAACCCGAACCCAAAGCAGGTATAGTGTTTTCAAATTAGTACTATACAGGACGATCAATCTTATGTGGGATACTCATTTTCGGCATATGACAATTATAATGGGATATACATTATCTTTGCAAAGTGCACAAAGTGCATCAGGTTGATAAAAATATTAGAAATTCAAACGCTAAGACTTTTTCCTAAAAATTATTGTCTACAAAAATATAAAATTAAAAACTTATGTCCACATATAAAAAACGAGGTCCATACTTGTTTTACAAATTATAAAATATAGATAGATAAGCAGTATTGAAAAATATAGTAAAATATGTACCTACCTAAGTATAGGAAAAAAATTATTCATATTTTCTGAGAAAATGGGTGTCTTACTGAAAATCGATCACTCCGTTTACTCAACCGACTACTAGTTTATTATTTTTTTTTTTAAACAGTTTTTTTTACTTGACGGTCTTTTATGTCTGCAAAGGCACGCAATACACGTTACGGTGACAAAGGCATAGTCGCCTTTCTCTGTAAAAGCCATTTTCAATTTGTGCTCTCCGCCATAGACGCTGTACACTATATGTATGGTACCATAAAAATTAAACAGACTACAAAGCCTATGGCAGACTATATTATACGGTTTTAACTATAGTAACGACATCTCTGGAGGTTCAAACGCGGTTCAATTTAATCACCATCGGCAGTAAACCGGATTTTGTTTCAATCTTATATACCAAGCAAAGACTACAAATACAAATATACTATAAAGTGTTATTCGAATTCGCCATTACACAATTTTTTTCAATGATATGTAGATAGATTAGTCGTTATCTTCATTAAATCTTCTGTCGTTTGCAAACGTAGATCATGGAGCATATATATAGAAATGGGAGGGAATAACGGATTTTTTTTTTGTAAATACAATTATTTGTTATTATGGTAAGTTATCTAAAATTCACGTTACAGTAATTATTTTTAACGACATAATTATGTTAACTAAAAATGCTTCTAATAGAATTTTTTTTGCATTTATTTATACAGAAAATTATACTTAATATTCTAGTTAAAAATATTATTTTAAAGGGTAATTGTTCTAATGGCGGCATACATATTATGTTAATTGCCTATTCAAATTTGAATAACTCTAACAACCTTATATTTATATACAATACATATTTAGGCAGTTTGTAGTGTTCCATTGTTTTTCCACTATTTTTTTGGGACCTAACCGACAAACATGACCGATTACACTTAAAATACAAACACAATTGGAGAAAACAAATACATATATATGTTGTATACTTATACGATAAACGCTAAGCTCAAACGTTGACAAAAAGTTTAAAATAATAATATAAAACAAATAAACACTCATAACACACATATTAACGTTTTGTTCAAAAAGGTTAAGGGATAAGCGCCCCTCGTGTGAAAATCTCTTTTGTAAATTTTCATTAATCATTTCAACGATATATATATATATACATAATACATATATAGAAATCCCTAAGGGTCGTCGAACTTCTTTCTCCGTCACTGTCAAGCCTTTGCGGTTTTTTGTTATGTTTGATTATCATTTTGAGGGTACACAAACATATTATTATTGACAAACAATAAATATTAAAAGATAAGAGCAATTGCTACGAGACATTCCAACTTGCAATAAAATGTACTTCATTACTTGAACTTGTTTAATTGACTTATTTAGCCTACTTGGAAATAGGTACTATAATTGTATGTCATTGAAATAATAAATATGTTATACTTACATAGGCAGGTTAGGTCAGGTTAGGTTTAAAAATAATTAATGATATTCATTTTGTTTCAATTTTTTATATCCTGCCAAAATATCATTTTTACAATATCGGTAAATACTTTTGATAATATAATAATAATCATACAATTGCTGCCCTGTTGATGTACATTGGAAGTCCGTTGTTAATTGTTGGGTTTTTTTTTTGTTTGTGTTTCAGCAACTCGTATAATCAAGGATTACAGGGATTTCAACAAAAGGACCAAATGGACTCCAAGTCAAAAGATGACTCCAATATCAACCTCACCATCCGGCTTATCATGCAAGGAAAAGTAAGTAGAAATACAGGTACATTAATTTCTTGTGTTTAAAGTTTAAACCCGACATTGAGCAGAGTTTGATCTAGTCTAAGAATATTTATATATAATAATATATTATGTTGTGAGCATTAAAGTTGTGTCAAGTTTAGTTCAGTATAATATATTATTATTCCTGCCGTAAAAGGGAAACCTTAAAAAAATAATATGTTTTTTTCTTTTTGATAATATAATCCATTTAGCTTTGTTGTAACCGCATAACGGTTTGATACTAGAAACCATATAATTTACTCACTCCTTCATTACACACTCTGGTATTAAATTATATCATGAAAATCCATATAAATGACCCAAAGTTGTTTAAAAAGCTCCCATTTTTATACTTTCAGCTGCGTTTACCGTTCAATCGAAAATAAATAAATATTACTAATAATCGTTTAACTATTTGGTTTGAAAACATTAATAAATTATAAAATATGTGCTTAAAAATAATATTCCAACTATTCCAACTATAAATATTATTATATTAACTATAAATAATATTTTCCATAAAAATGTATTATTGCTTTGCGGGGTAGCCGACAGAATAGTAATATTATTTTTCTTTTGGAAAAATAAAGTGTTTTTTTTTTCAAGAACTTTTTCAACACAATGCCCAGCCAATTCCTGAGTTAAACCTCTGTGGAATTTAGTGGTAAATATGTTTGTAAAAAAAAAAAAAAAGGTTTGCAAAGCTCCCAAAAGAAACCGTCAAAAGTTAAATTAAAATCGACCATTCGCCAAACGATAAAACTTACTGGGTTTCTATTTTTTTTTTCTCATTTCTTTTCAAGCTCCAAAGTTTAGGCTTTATTTTACCCAAATTTTGTGGGATTGTTAAGTGTCTTCTTTTCCCAAACGTTGCGTTGACAAAATGACGTATACAATACATAAAATTAATTATGTTTGATAAAATCGCTGCACAGATCTTTTATCTTTCGACCCGCAACGTTGAGTTTGATTTTTTTTAATAATTTTATGATAACATTTTTAATAGGTAACTTTAATTCAAACACTTACCCTAAATATTATTATGGCCGTCTTTAGGATGTGAGGTTTGGGTTTTTACCACGCTTTCTCGGCGTAGTAATAGTGCAAATGGCAAAACTTTTTATTGGCATCGAATTCCAAATGCTTTTCAAATGCCAAAGCAATGCCGGTGGAAGGCGTCAGAATTAGAACGGCTGTGTAATTTGTTGTCGTTGAATTGTATTCGGAATTGCGCCGAGTTATGTTACCTGTACAAAAAATGGTTGGTCTAAAAATACATCAACAGTGGCTTCGATTAAAAAAGAAATAGATCCCGCCAGCCCAGTTGTGACAATAGTCACATACAATGTTAATCCAAAATCATTTTGACTGATCGAGATGGCATTTTTTACAATGATATATTTGGTGCACGATAATTTTTGAACCGTCGACAAACCACAAACGTGTCAAAAACCATTTTCCTCAATGGAAGTTGTTATTATTTCTCGTTTTAGATATAATTTTAGAGCTTAAAGTCTAAAAATGAGATAACAGTGGTGCAAATTTTTATTACAATTATTATTTGAATGCAAATTAGGATTAACAGGCGATCAACCGCCTAATCGTAACCACAATAATACTAAAAATACAATTTTAAACATATTTATGCAGTGATTTAATTGTTTAACTTGTATAATATGTATTTGTGTTGTTTTTTTTTTTTTTGCAGGAAGTCGGCAGCATTATCGGAAAAAAAGGCGAAATCGTCAAACGGTTCAGAGAAGAGGTTAGTAGTGAATACAAATCGGTCGGACTAGAAAGGGAACGTTCTATTTTACCAACCCCTTTTCCCTTTCTGGTATGATTTATTTATTATCATGCACTCGAACGAAGCACCCTTCTTTATAGCGTTATGTAGGTACAACTTATAGCTGGGGCAACACAAAGGTATTTCTAATGTACCCGTGTAATAATTTATACCGGTCAAAAAAAATGGTGAAATCATACTTAACCAAAAAGGAAACATTAATTTCTTTGATGTGCGCACGTGATACAAAACAGGCGATTCGAAAATTAAACATTATCACTGTGAACATTAATGATAATAGTATCATTTTGTTATTTTTCTTAACTCTTAAGTAGTAGTAGCGTTGACAGTGTTTAATTGAACAACGTGCCTTAATAATATTATATCAATGTAAAGCACCAACAAATTGAAATCTGAGAATAAACTAAAAAATAGAAAACATTGCGAGGAAAAATTAGAATACTTCAGTAACATTATAAATTACAGTCTGTGTCATCAACCATGGACTATACACACCTTATAATTATTTTTATTTTTACAATATTGATTATATTAATATTTACATAGTTTTTGATCCGATTGAATTTTATGGGTAAAATGTTAAAGGTATTACTATATTTTAGTATTAGTTATCGTTTTTAAAAATGTGTATGCCATATATATAAAATGGGTAATTAAGTTAAAATCATTGTGTACGTTGCGAAGTGCTAACGTTATAATTACAATACATACTTGTAACGGGGGAAAACTGTTTTTTTTTTCTCCAAATTTTCTTGGAAATTTCCATCAAGTCCAACGACTGATAGATTTTTTTTTTCTTCATTTAAAGTCCAAGTATTTGCGGATATTTGTGCTTTGATCAGAACACAAATTGTTGACTTCAATTAGCACAGTTTCGGTTCTGTGCCTATAATTAGGTTAGGTCAGGTACGGTCACACCCTGTATGTGATTTATGGACTTTTGAAAATATGCTAAAGGCGGTTGGGGGGGGGGGGGTTTAGAGCTGATAGTCGACATTATATTTTTATTTTTATTTTTTTCCAGTCCGGAGCCAAAATCAATATTTCCGACGGCTCTTGTCCCGAGAGAATAGTGACGATAACGGGAACCACCGAAGCCATATACAAAGCGTTTTCTTTAATATGCGCAAAAGTCGAAGAGGTAAGCACTTTTTCGAGTATTTAACGGTTAGGTTAGGCGAGCGAGCCCAAAGGGTTCATCTGACGCTTTTGACATATTTTTTACTATACAATTTTCAAGTGTTCGCCGTGCACCTATATCGTCGTGCCGATGTGACTCTTTTGCACATTTTCGTTGATTAATAGTCGTTAAATGCGCCCAAATATAAGTAGGTATAAAGGCAACAAATGGAAAACAACAGCTATTTTCTCTACTCCGCGGAAGAATAACATTTAATCATTGATTTATGTTTGTCTTAAAGTGATTTTATTGCAATACAATAGGATAAGTTATGATACAGTTCAGTGCACTATGATATTAAAATAACTGCAGGCATTTACCACCGTGAAAACATAAATACAATACAACATACTGCTGAAGAATACATTCGAGTAAATGAGTAACTGTAGATATTATTTAAATTGAGTAATCAAATCAAATAAATGAGTAAACGAGTAATTAAATTTAGTATGAGTAAATAAATTGAGTAAACAATCCTACTATAGAATTAAATTAATTTAATAATAAACGATTAAACAAATCAAGTAAAAGAGTAAATAAAATCGAATCTAATCGAGTGATGAGTAATTAAATCTAGTACGAGTAAAAAAATTGAGTAAACCATCCAATTATAGAATGAAATGAACTGAATAAACGAGTAAATAAATAAAATAAATGAGTAATTACATCAGCTAGTAATAAATCTATTCAGTGCGCGAGTAAACAATTAAACAAATCAAGTAAATGAGTAAATAATTATAGTTAACTAATCCAGAAATGAGTAATTAAATCTAGTATATGAGTATATAAATTGACTGAACGAGTAATCGAGTGAACAGCCCTAGTAAAAGATTAGATAAAACGAATAAACGTTTAATCACGTCTAGTAAATATACTCGGTTAGAGAGAAAAAACGATTAAGTAAAAAACAAGTAATTGAGTAAAGATATCGAGTAAATAATGTTATTATAAATTAACAATAATTTCTATGTTACTTATCCGTAACAGATTTCGTGACGCAAAAACGTCCACGTTTTTAGGTTGACACGTACCCAAGTTAAAGAGTTTTTTATTTAAATAAAAATACAACATTTTAGTTCGAACGAGTTAGTAACCCTCTAATTCCGACTTGCCCGTTCTCAATATCCCAGGTGACACCAGAAGGCGTTAATAACGAAAATGGTGCCGAGACCTTCTTAATGATTAAAACCAATTTCGCAACGCCATGAAGCTTCACTTGTATAGTACTTGTTGTAAAAATTATTATTTACCGATTGTGTAGTTTATATATCAAACAAATCGTTACATGTTATTACACCAATAAGTACCACTGGTTGTCGTCTGGCTTCTGTCTACAATATAGGTCATAGAGGATTTATAGCTGTGTTGTTTGTTTTGAAAATAATTGTATTTATAATCCATCCATTTCAACAATAAACTGCAGTTTCTTATTATTTTTTGGAGTCAAAATTTGTGGCGATAGTTTTTTTTTACTCGTGGGACTGACGTCAGCAAAACTTTGCATTTTCAAAAAATACTTAATTATTTATTCAACTAATTAATTTGTTACGCTTTGTGTGTACACGAATAAATCATAACAAACGCGCTGCAAGTTAGTCGTTGAATATTAATTTATACTAACGAACATTTTCAAATTAAATATTCACCGTTGGTACAGGTTTTTCCCCTGGAAGTGGGTATGATATAATAATCAGTAGTAACATTTGATACCAGACCTACTACAATATTCGCGGTAGACATATATTTATGTACTATAATTATTATAATAAATTTAAAATTGTGTTTTATTAGTATATATATTATTCGAATAAAATAATTTTATATTTTTATTTCAACCAATAGATTAAATATTAGGTATTTGATTTGTTTTAATTTGTATTTCTTTATTTAGTTACATTTTCCCAACACTGATTTGTACGGTACAAACAACTGATTGGAATTTTTCTTTTAATCAAATGAAACGTTGGCAACTAGGTAACAGTCTATTTTTTCTAAAAATAATACACTGTCTCCAACCTGCTCTACTTAACCGAAACAACAGTGCTCTCTTTTCAGATCAGGAAATACAATTTAAATTAGTTCTCAATTCGATTTATTAATTTTGGTTTATTTTTTTAAGTATTTTTATACTTTTCAGTTTTTACATAGGTATAACATACAATTTTAATTTTATACTATTTTAAAAATCAACATTCTTATCAATTTTGTTAAGCTGCTTTGTGATAGATTTGGCCAATTTATTATGAATGTTTTTTAAGCTAGTAGTTTGTTGAAAATTCACGTGGACATTTTCGCGTCACGAAATCGGTTGTGTTTGATAAGAGACAGCTGATAAGGGATCAGTGATAACATATATAATAGTGATAAGAGATTATTGGTAAGATATTAAATTAAGTCGGGATTTGACGATTTGATCAAGGGGAGACGGAGGGGAGAAGGAAGGGGAGAGGTAAGGGTAATTATCAAATCTAATCACATATCCATGATTGAATATTTTTCCGTTGATCAGAGAAAAAAAGTCTTATTTTCCAAGTAATGCACCACTATGTTATCGTTATTATAAGCTACGTAAAGGCTACCAAGAGACAAACAATATAATAATTGTTGCGACTTATAAAGAAACCTATGTGATTCATAATTGACGTTCGTTTTAAGTTTATTGAAATGCAAAATGGCAAAATCGGTGCCATGGCAATGGGCAAGTGCGGCATGACCCTTCGGCTGATCGTACCCGCGTCTCAGTGCGGTTCGTTGATCGGCAAAGGCGGTAACAAAATCAAAGAGATCCGCGAAGCCACTGGCGCACAGATCCAAGTCGCCTCGGACGTCTTGCCGCAGTCCACGGAAAGAGCGGTCACACTGACCGGCACGAGGGATGCGATCACTCAATGCATATTCCACATATGCGCTGTAATGATCGAGGTAAGTCGCCGAGGTCCTCAAGCCGCGTTTGGTAATTATTTATGTCGGACATACACGAGACGGGTCTAATGTGTAAATGAAATGGAGCTCAGAGCAGTTCTCAGCCCGGTCCAACACAAACTCCAGGTGACCTATCTCGTGTATGCTCTTGGCCTGTTGCCGCAACCTAGTTCACCGTTGATGTGTGTCCACAGTCTCCTCCCAAGGGCGTCACGATACCGTACCGCGCCAAGCCGCAGATGGGAGCTCCGGTCATTCTGGCCGGCGGACAAGCTTACACCCTGGCAAATGCGGGCTCAGCGGCCGGATGTGACGTCGGCACTATGATGGTGGGCGGAGGACCCTACAACGCACCCATGCTTATGGTTCCACCGTCACCTGGCGCCGCGGCTAGCCTGGGCCTCATCGACCCTCTGGACTATCCGCTGCTTAAAAACGCTTTCGGACCTTCACAAGTGCGTTTTAACCTCTAGAACGGGTCATTTCAAGGGGAATAAACTGACAATGAGCAAGGGATAGAGGTGGAGATAATACGGTGGTAAAAGGCAATCGATAACACAGAATAACCAGAAAGGACAGTTTACAATAAATCGAAATCTGCTATCTTGTTTTGCCCACGGGAATAGGGATAAATGTATCCCTCGTAAGAACCTTTGCAATTCTCGAAAATTCTCCATTCTGGTCGGTTATTCTGTGTCGGTAATCCTTAGATAGCTGATAAGAGAATCAGCCAATATGACATTATTGATAAGAGATAGGCAATAATCCCCGGTTAGCTAATGGTGTACATAAAATTAGATGATCACCTGTTCAGGGTACTACTCCCGAGTCTAGCAGTAAGCTAGAGACGGAGAAATACATTTTTCTTTTATGAAATATATACTTTGACCCAAAACTACTAGACTGTTGTTTTTGGTTTAGCTGGGAAAATTGACCGGCAACCCTTTGGCCGGTCTAGCAGCGCTGGGACTCGGAGGTTTAGGCGGACCTGCCAACTCGTTCAATCCAGCGGGTACGCAACAAAATCCGACCCACTTCGAGTCGTCGTTCAGCACTTACATGGGTTATTGTTATTTTACAGCCCTAGCCGCTCTGGCCGGAAGTCAGCTGAGAACCAACGGTACCGGAAACAACATGAACGGCAGATCCGGAGGCAACCAGCAGACGCACGAGATGACTGTGCCCAACGACCTGATCGGATGCATCATCGGCAAAGGCGGTACCAAAATAGCCGAAATCAGGTACGTGCCGACGCATGTGTTACTATTAAATCTGGCCAGTGACAGCAACAAAATCATTACTCGTTGCTCAACCAGGAGAAACATTTGAATCGTGTGAAATGTTCGGTCAAGATCAGTAGAGAGCGGGTGCCATAAAACGGGTGATTCATGTGTTTCTCCTTGGGAATCATACTCGCCCAATTGAAGAATTGAGGCCAACAACCAGACATGTCCATTTTGACACTGTTTACACATCTTGCGGTTGCTCCCACTCGAATAGATTGACTGGTCTGCCGACGTTTCGCGAAATACCTGCAGACAGAGTTAGACTTTCTTTAAGATCCCTAGCAACCATCTGAGTGTCTGGCCCCCCATTACTATACGTTCCACACTACATTACTGTAGTTCGTTTGAGCTACATTGTCAACTAATTTTACAGGCAAATCAGCGGGGCCATGATACGCATATCAAACTGCGAGGACCGCGAAGGAAGCTCCAGCACCACGGACCGCACCATCACGATATCCGGCAACCCTGACTCGGTGTCGCTGGCCCAGTACTTGATCAACATGAGGTGAGTGCAAAACGTTTGACAGCTCGAAGCATGATCGCACACGCAAGTCTTTGGCCTTTACTTAACGAATAACAATATGCACTTAAAGCCATGCATAACACGTCGGCAGAATAGCACAAAACGTTGGCTTTTTCTTTTTAAACATATTTGTACATTTGGCTTTGGTTTTATAAAATTAATTTTTCACAAATATATAAATTATCAGTTATGTTTTATGGCTACTACATTGTTGTACCGTTTCGGTAGTGGTGTCATGGCATACGCTTGGAGCCATGTCGAGTAGAGCAATTATATATTTATATGTATATACATAATTTATTAAACGACTGTGATATTATAAGGTGTGTTAAATTTAAATTATCAAAATAATTCAGAGCCATATTTCCTATTGGCGGGTTTTTTTTTATAATGTCCTGGACTAATCATAATTTATATTATGTATTAAGAATGACACTGAATGTTTTATTGTTTTCTATTTTTATTTCTATAATTTTAGTAAAAAATGTGTCTTTTTTTTGATTAAGTAATCGTGTTATTATTGTCATAGTACAAACTATAAAAGTAAAATGTCACACAGGTTTCATATGCTTTCCGGAGATGCTTTGTGGATTTTTTTTTTAAATTCTGGTTGGAAAAATTGAAATTTACTATTTAATATAAACATTATAGTAAATTGTAAAATATTTGTTAGAGGGGGGGGGGGTTATTTAATTTATGGGAAGAGCCCCTCGAAGGTATTTTGTTTTGGGGTTAAAAATGTCTAATACAAATTAGAATTTTAACCTTACTTTCAGTATAAAAAAACATCTCCGACCGTTTTCACTGCAGATGTGATTGAAACTCTTTACTTATTTTGATTTACCTGGGGTAGTTTATTTATTTAAACAACAAGTTATTCGAAAAACACATTCTGAAATCGCGTCATCCGATCATTATCGCATTATGATTGACGAGCAAAGTCGTTAAAGTATTCCCAAACCACATTATAGGTACCTGTAAGAGTTTTTGAAATATATACACATGGGCGCACTCACTATGACACAACACATACATTCGTTAGCATTGTAAAGACAAGAGTGGATTCTGAAGTTTTTGCCATACCATTATTTTTTTTTTTTATAATAATACTTGTATAGTTTTTGAGAGTTCGTTATAACAGTAAACGTACTACGTTATGAATATGAAGAATATACTATACCGAAGGCCGAAAACGGTGGTCAAGCGACGACCTCGACTTAAATTGCTTTTTCTTCTTGTTTCACCCTTTCTTGATTATATTTTTAATCATTCGACCGTAGTATAACACCTAATTTATTTTTTTTCCGGTTCACACTTCTGTGGATACGTCTGTTATGAACACATAATATACAATTTTGTACTATACGACGATACATTTGCCGTCAGTTGCATTTAGAGTTTGAGACATTATTCGAATAAAATATGATCTTTCCTTTTCATTCAATACGTTATTCGATTTTTTGTTGTAGTCGTTATTCAGTTCACTTTTATCCAACTCTGGCTTCATTGCACTTATAACGAATGTCGTTGTAAGGTCTCTATCGATCACTTGGTTTTTAATGCTCTCTCGATCAGAGGCACGACCAGAATGGAGTCAAACGGGTCACAACTCCTTTTGGAATTTCTACATTTTATGAATAAATCTTCCTGGTTGCACGACTTCTTGCAATAACCGCACTACTACTATATTATCGCTTCCCTCTATTAGCTGACTTTTATAGTTGTATCCAGCATACTCCATAACCCTTACCGATGTGAATACCTCTTAAGTAGCTTTACCGTGCTGACATTTTTGTTGCAGAACTGTTTACACTAATATAATATTAATTATATTACTATAAGCAACCCGTTGCTCGTTCAATACTATTCCCAGTTTTTGTCTAACCCCTAAATGCCTTACACCCTATAATATTGTATAGTAACAATTAAAAAAAAACACTATTCGTATTACCTGTGAACCCCGTCGTTTTTTGCATTTTTATTGTTGTTGTTATTGAAAATAATCACAATTACTTCTGTACTATTATATTTTATATTATACACTGCCCTCACAACACGGCGATTCCCAGTAATCTGCAGGGAACTTTTATTTTAACTATTGTACTCCCACCAACAAAATATCCTATCGAATAGATCATAGAAGTGCCGTTTTAGACGTCCTCGCGTTGTTCCTATATTCCTTGCCACTGCAATATAAGACTCACGGGAAGCTCGAGTGGGAAATCAAAAACAATAAGGTAACCTACCGTGCTCCTCTAAATGGTTTTGAAGTCAGGAGACCTGCACATAGATCATCAAGCACCCTAAACTGGAAAAAATTCATCATTCCTGGATAGGAATCCTTAGAGATATCACTAGGATTCCTGGCGCTATCACAGTAGAATGTCCCTAGTAGAACTGGGAAATTGGGATTTTTCTGTCATCTTCCTGGAAGCCAATTGGACTACCCTTCGTGCCAATACTGGGGAAGTACCTCAGTATAACTTACCGTTGCAATTAGAGGTATTATAATACTCCCAATCAATATTCCCGGACTGTAATGGTTTTAGCCCACTCTTCTAGGTCAGCATGGATCCCAAAAATGTGTACACTAGAAATGTGACTCTATTGTTCAACTTGAGAGAGGTGGCCCCGACTAAACCCATCTGTGGTTAAGAATCCTCAGAAGTTCCCACAATGATTTCCTATTTTCAAACCTCTGAAGTTACCGATAGGAGAGTGTTCGTTCGCAGCCAACATTAACAGTCTCCAGTGCTTCCCACCTAGGAATTCTCTGGCGGCGAACGGCATTCGTCGTGCTGTGAGGGTAGGACTGATGAAAATGACATACATTTTATATACATATTGCGTTCTCCTTATGATATTGTTTTTGTTTTTATTTTTTATTTACCGTCCCATTTCCCACCTCGACAGTTTGGACATACAACGTGCCTCGATGCTGCAATCAGAAATCCAACAGCAACAGCTAGTGTTGTCGTCGCATCAGTACCCGTTCCCCGTGCATATGCTTGCCACATCCACCACCGCCTCCACCACCACGACCACCCAGACCACCAACAATCCGCTGCCGACAGTCCCCGGAGTCGGCCACCAGTACATGACCGCCGCCGACATACCCGTCCAGCACCATTTCCACCACAGTCCTGCGGCCGCGGCCACGCTGCTATCGCCGCAGCCGACGGTCGCCAAACACAAACCGGATCGCATCAAGTTCATGCCTTACTGACACCGGACAGACTCTAAACAAAACGAACCACGTATACCTTTTGCCCCTTTAAAGCGCCCGACCAAAGGACCCATAGCATAGTAGTCATAGTAGTCAGCAGTCCAGAGCTTTCGATCAATTGCAATTCACGAACCTTAAGTCAAACTTCACGAATCGTTCGCGAAAACTTGTATTGGAAAAATAAATACACCTAAATTTTCGAAAATTCGCACGAAATTAAAGTTAAGAGTTTGACAAGGATTTCACGAATCATTCGGACATTCGTGTACACTTGAAAATAGTATAAAAAGCTCTGGACTAGTCACAGTTTATAATGTACCCCTCGGTAGTCAATCTAGTTCTTATACATATCCCAGCGTTTTCTCCTAGTAAGTACACCACCCATACGACCAAAAAGATGGTGTTATCTTGTTTTTCTTTTACCTTCTCGAGTAGACATCTTATTTAAAAAAAAATTAATAAATTGGCATTTGAGCTCCCATTGAGGAGATGTTAAGCTTTAGGAAAGACATTGGACCATGAACATATCTTATCATTAGTTGTTTCTCTATCACTTAAAACTCATCTCTTATCTGCTGATTGATCAGCTCTTATCAATAGCAACATCCATAGCAATTGATGACCTCAATCAATTGTTACACATTTTAAATAAGGATATAATTTATGTTTTGCTCCACAAGCTTAAGGTTCTTGGCAGTTTCAATTAAACTCCATTTGTTCTTGTCTAGAAAATTGACCAATGTTGATTCAACAGCTCTTGACATTCTATTAAAACACAATTAAAATTAATCTAGATAAACAATGTTTTATAATAACATGTTATTGGTGGTTAATTTTTTTTTAACCGATTGAAATCGTTCACCTCTTATGTTATAACATTATACTAGTTAGATCTCATTACACGCTGTGATGGTTGCCAATATAGGAATAACACCAAACACATCTTGTTACGGTTACGTTTATTTAAATATTCACTTACACACAATAATAATATAATATATTATAAATATTATATTTTTGTGACAATAACCAATGAGTGACAGACTTACTTACTATACTTGCCAACGAGAGACTTATTTACTAATCCCACGCAGCAATTTAGAGTTCAACATTTGTTTGGGGTTTTAAATATAATTCTTGTGTAATTATCAAATTTATTAAATATTAGAGGTGTTTAAAAATATCGTGACAATTTTATTACAGAATAGTAGGTATATATACATTTTTTTTTGGTTTTATATTATTAAAATAAAATATTTCTGCGTGGGGACTAATTATCAAAATACCAAATCTGAGTAATCTATGTAATATTGTATAATTATTATACTTGACTATATTGAATGGCTCGTGTTAAAATGACAAAAAATATTACATATTATATTGTTATATTGTTAAAAATTATTATTATTGTTATTGTACCTATGTGCCTTACATAATATGATGGACGTATTCTTGTAAAACAGTGTAATTTTTTTTTCAATAAATTATAATTAAAAAATATTGTATTTTTATTATTATTAAGAATCAAAATTATTGTAACCGGATCAAATTTGTTAATTTTATTGTCAATAATAAAAATATATGATGTATTCTTTGAAACAAAGAAAGAAGACATTGAATGTTCGAAATAAATACTGTCTTAATTTATGTTAGTATAACTTTTTTTTCCCCAAACAAAATTGTATACCTGTCACACCAGTGTTGTCTTCGACTTAACCCTATGATGCAAACAAATTCTTGAGTTATTATTTCCAAAAAAATGGTCGTGTAAGGTGTGGGGATTTTTTTTTTATGTCTAGTTTTGTAGTTACTTTTTTTTTTTTTTTAATTTTCATGATTTGTTTTTGTTTTTTAGATGTTTTTTGTTTGTGACAATAAAAATAACAGGTATATTATGAATTAAAGTCGCAACAATAGGTTTATCGTTTGTGATGGTATTCATGTGATGTGCATGATCGACAACGCTATATAGATCTATAGATCATTGGTTCGTTTGTGATACGTGCATGCTCTGTACACACATTACTATTGTGGGTGTCGCCATTGATCTGTTGACTTCATCCAATCGTTGACCAACAACCTACTTAGTATGCATGCGAAGCCGACCGAATAAGGTTTATTTATTTATTTTTTACATAAAAATAATATACATTTGTACAGAAAACCTCTCCAAAAAAAACTATACTTGACCCTATAAGGGTAGTTTGTAGGCTAAACGAGGTTGATAATTCAAAATATGTAAATGCAATTTTTTTCATTAGAAATAACTAAAAACAACGTTAATGGTTTTTCAATTTTTTAATATCGGTATTGATTAAAAATGTTTGATAATTTTTTTATTAGAGATGTACATAAATTATAATTATGTAACTAATTTTGATTCACATACATATAAATTTGTCACAAAGAAAAAATGAAATAAGAAAATTGTTTACCAGTATATTACATTACATTATACATCGTTAAAAAAAAATTCCAAAATATTTTTAAAAAAGTACATTAAACATAAAATTATGGTTCTTGAGCTTTTTAAAGATGTAATAGCTTTCTTTATTTACAATTTGTATTTTTAAGTAGAGTTTGATAAAATGTAATTTAAATAATGAATATGAAAACTAAAACCAGAAAAAATTTGTGAAAAAATGATTTTAGTAGTATCAAATAAATATTGTTTGTAAAGTAAAACTAAGTTTTTTATACTGGTCATAAATCTAGTTCTCGCTTTATATATAAAAAAATAGGTGTAAGCTTGTAATTGTTTTGGTGACTTATTTTTGGTTTGTTTGTATAATAATAGTCATCTACTAATCTCGGTTTAGGTTTTTTTGGGTCATATTGCGTTACATATTTTTATATTTTGAAAAATGCATTTAAATTCGACCCGTTTGCTTACAATTTTTCCAACTCGAGACTTATACTCTAATTACAATTGTATTTTTCTACTCTAATATTATGACTAATACTGATATGTGCACATGTTACCAGGATATCTATGGAAACCGCAGGACTGGCCATGCACGGCTATCATTACTTGTCGCCCAACCACATTGTCAAATCTCAAATCCATTAAGTTGGCATGCAAATAAGGTAATATATGATATATATATATATATATATATATATATATATATATATACTTTGTAGTCAGTACAGTTAATAGAACATATTTTATTTTATGCACTTATATAGTACCTATACCTCTTTTCAACTCATCCAATTTTACAATTATTTATTTTCACATGGATACCTCTTATGGCTGGGAGTTATTGAAAATTTGTTTTATAAATAGTAGTTATATTAATACTAGGTGCATTTTATATGCTAAATAATGATCAAAAATAATTGTGTTATAAATATGCACAAAAAATACATTCGTTTAATACTTCAATTATTTATTTTATAACCTCGTAATTTATTGAGCCATAAATCGAAAGAAGTTGTTTTTTCCCATTTTAAAAAATTAGTCCATTAATTACATTTTGTCCGCCTATAAATTTAAAAATATATTATATTACCACGTTTTGAAATAGTAGCAATAATTATTGTATAGAAAATTAATACAACAATAATAAAATTGTTTCAGGTTCACGTTTGCAATAAACTCGGGCATTTAAGTCGTACAACAACGATACTCGACCAAATCAAAATGTTGATCATCAGGATTTCCAAAAATTAAAAAAGTAAAACAATATTTTTACACTTTCAGTAACGACAACACGGCATTTTTTGCCGACTTTAATCAAATATTATGGCATTATCGTTCCGGTAGTTCTAATAACAAAATAGTTATAAGCAACTTTTTTTTTTTATGCATAGTATATTTTTTAATCATAACAAAAAAAAAAATACAAACTATTATACTCGATTTTTCATGGTATTCCTCCTATTAGTGTCTTAGTGTCAACTCGACTAATTAAAATAAAAAACAAATTACTACTTTTTATAACATGAAATTCAAACATTGGTACAGTTATAAATCGATTACACGGGTCAGGCCAATAAATCAAGGCCGTAAAAATCATATTTTTAAAACATTAAAAAATATTTTTAGTTTGTAAAACTTTTAATAGCCTATTGTTTTTTAGATTTATATTTTTCCACGATGTGAATTATGTAGTCATAATTTTTTTTTCTTAATTAGCGCCTCACGCAGCAATAATATATTTCAAAGATATTTTAAACATTGTCAAAATGTTTTGGTAGAAAAACAAAATATAATAATCAAACGATGGATTCGACAATATTACACACTTGAATTGTATAATTTTCAAAAAACCCAACAAACATTGAGCTCATAAAATTTTCCACCAAACCTCAGCATTAAACGTTTAGAGCTGGCATAAAAATAATTATGATTTTTAAATAAAGATACAAAATATTACGCATAGATTTTCTAAAAAAAAAATACTAAACAAATTTCTTGAAAGTAGTATTTTAATATTACTGTAATTTTACCTGATAGTGTTTTTCGAGGAAAAACGATTTTTGATAGGTTTGTCTTAGCGATTAAATGTTATTGTAAAACTTACCTTTTTTTTATTTGTCCAACTTCCAACTTTAGACACAAAATTCATAATATGTTAAATTAAAAATGTCGAAACAGTTATTTTACGTGAAAAAAATTGTAAATAGCATGCTAAGTACGATTTTGTTCCCCTAATATGACCAATGTTTGTACAACAATATACCTACCTGTATTAGGTTCTTTAGCAGGTCTATTCTTAAATTTTGCTGTGTGTGGTTGGCAACACTGTAAACTAAGTATTGAGTTGATCGGTGTACCTATTTATATGAAAAAAATAATAGATACATAGTTCACGTCTTATTATGAAAACATCATCTTGTAAATAAAAATAAATAGATTGTTATTATAATAGCGGACGAAAGCAATACGTTTTTTTTTTAAATTTATTTTATAGTCGATAGCTGTTTTTAATATTATTATTATTTTAAATAAAGTTAATCGTTTATAATATAATAATAATTCTATCTTAAGCGTGTGCAATGCAATACCAATAAGTTAATCAACATCAAATCGTATACAGGGTGTGAACAATCTGTTATATTTTAAGACAGTGGTCACTTGTACTGCGTGTCAATATTCCTACCATCGCCAATAGTCATCACCCTGTATGTAAAATAATATTTATATTAAAATCTATATATAATGTACATATATTATATTATATCAATCGACCAACGTTGTGTAATGTTCATTTTTTATTCATTAATTATATATACTTAAAAAAAAATAACTATAATATATTATTATTAGTATAAAAAAATCGCGTAGGGCGGTATCTAGAATTGTTTTTTATAATAATTTTTGATTTATTAAAATTATAACATTAATATAACTATGTATAGAGAATTACATTATATGATATAATAATAATGTAAGCGCTTAGCGATGTGCCAGTTGTAATAATAAACTATTATCTATCATATTCGAATGGGCTATTTAGCAGTGATAAAAAAAAATAACTTATATAAAAATAAAATCAAAGGGAAAGTTGTCGGTTATGCCAAAACTATCTAAAAAGTGAACTCATGTGCCAAATAAAAATATGTACTTATTATTTATTGTAATAATACCGTCATTATTATAGCGTGTGCCAAATATTAATCTAATAATCTAAAAGGTAATCTTAAAGGATTATAAAGTAAAGACGTGAAATACACCAAATCTATGTAGCTTTACATAATTTTCCCCTCGAATAGATGTTTTGAACCACTAATTTCGCACTATTGTAATTATACACAAAATTCCTTAATAACTACACCTAATAAGAGTAAAAAATAAAACACTATTTCAACACCAAATGGCAATTTTGTAAGTATACATTATATGCATTTATACAGAGTGTCCCGTTAAGTTATACTGAGCTTCAAAATATTATGATCCTTTCAGAATAGTTTAAAACCTCAAAAGTGACGTTAGGTTATGCTGGTATGCTTGGTTGTGAGGAAATGTTATACCAACCAAACGTGAAAAAAAGTTGTTAGGTTAGGTTTGGTAACTCGTTTTAGGGCCATCATTGCACCTTTACAACCTAATATTAGTTTTTTGGAGTTGTCATTCAAATGATCTTTTATTATCATTTACTCTTTGTTCAATAACTAAAATAAAATACATTTTTTTAAGTGTTGTATTTTTGATTTTGGCTATTATTAATACTGTTGAATCCTAGAAAGAATTTTTTTTTGTTATGTTTACCCAGTGTCTACCATGTTTTTTTTATTTTGAGGCTTCTAAAAAACAATTCGGATTACCTACCTAAATCGTCACATATATTGAAGCTGGGTGTAACGACCCGAGAAACCCATTATATTAATAAATTAAACTGATAATTAGTAACGATAGAGGGTAGGTATATGCCTTCGGTGGCAGAGGTAAAGGTCGGTGATTCAAAGGGGTAAAAAAAAAAAATCAAAAAAACTAACTAAGTTTTTCTTTTGTCGAGTGCACGTTTTATTTTTCAAAGAAAAAACAAACTTAAATTAACGGATTAACGTAGGCAATCACTTAATAAAAGAAATATTTTTTTAGTATACAATTTCTACTCGCGATTTATCATAATAATATTATAATATTTTGTTCACAATTAAAAAATTAAAAAAAGAATGAAGTTTGTGATATAACATAATACATTAGTCAGGGACGCGTAAAGAAATTATTATTATTATTATTTTATTATAAAATAATAAAATAATAGTGCATATTTTACGATTTTGGGTAGTCGAGACTTGATATGAAATATATGTATATAAATATACATATTTTATTTTAATAAAAAAAACCTATTATAATATTTATGATAAAATATACTATCAAACATCAATATTATTAGTGTCGATTAGAGTGATAGAAAATATGAAAAACAATTTTTAAAATAAAAATAAAATAACGCACAATTTTCAAAACGAATAGTATTGTTTAATACACACTTTTCGGTATGAAAATATAATTAAAAATAATATCATAATGATTTCTATCGTTAATAATATATTAGAGACAATCAAATAAACGATATAATTTTTATTTTGGATAAAAAAATTGTTTTTATAATTGCACCACTTGTAGGTAAAAGATTTGAAAAACATACCTAATTATGGAAATAAACAATAATAAAATTGAAAATAAAACACAACCGATTATAATATGTAAATTAATATTAGTTTATGTAAAACAAAGAATTAATAGCGAAATACAAAACAATGGTCTGTTTTTAATATGCCAAAATGGTATAAAGTGGTCGATCCATTTAAGTAGGTACTCAAAAATAATAATTTGTTTGTTTTTTTTTTAAATCATAATTTTTATTTTATTTCATGTTTAATGAGATATTATTATTATTATTACATAAGCGATTTATATTTATATACATAATATAGTTCTAGCTGTTTATTATAATTATTATTACTATTTAAAAAAATCAAAGTGAAATTTAACCATTTTTTTTTTTGTGTAAAACAAAAAGGGTATGCATTTTTTTTTTAAATTAATGTCTATTACGATTTATAATAACGTTTTAATATTTTATTGTGTTCAAGTGTTATTATATATTTATAAGTATATAATATTTTTTTGTTTTTTTTTGTTTTGTTTGATCTCATTAATCGTTAATCGACAAGAAATATAAAACGAAACATTATTATTACAAAAAAAAAAAAAATTATTATTGCGTAATTGGTATTATTAATGTTTAATTTTTCCAATATTTATCAAAACTATTTATATTTTTCGAGTAATTACACATATCCTACCCTAAGCCTCACCTACTGTATATTTAATAATATCAAATCGTGACTATTATTGTTTACCTATTAAATATACTTACATTACACACTTAGCATATCGTACGAATAAACAAGTGCCCAGACGCATATCCCCAATTACACCACCGTATTACCTACCTAATGTACCTAATAATATTAATTATATTGTTGACCTTATCTTTATTATTATTATTATTATTAATTGAGATTGTATTTAGTTGGACATAACACACGAAGAGCACACAGGGCGAGAAGGGTAGTAGTCCATTTATGAACATATTTTTTTTTCAAATAGTTTTCTTTCAATATATGCCATTAATTTTTTCTAGTTATGTCAATAAATTGTTTAAAAAACAATACGTTTTTTTAGTAGAATAGCACTTGATGTGATTATTTTGTTCTTATGTAAGAGGGAGAGAAATTCACTAACTTTGTTTTTGCTATACTCTAAAATTGTCATACATGGACCATTTTACTAACCTTCTTTCCCTGTGCCCATCATATGTTTTAATTAGTTAGAATTAATTGATATTCGCATTATCGTCGGCGATTAGTCAATTTATAATTATAATAATTATTATTATTAATTATCATAAATTATAAGCCCCGTAGAGAATTTTTTTATAAATTTATTCTGTTTAAAAAAAAAAAAAAAAATCAAAAAACCCTTTTAGTTAACTTTTCCTTATTAAATGACTTTTAATTAATTAACTTTTTCAGTTACTATAGACTACTTAAAATTAGTACCTACTTCAGTATTGTTACATTATTATCATGATAATTTCTAGTGTTGATTAAAATTTCAATAAAATAAAATTAAAAAAATATATATAGTCTTAGTCGATTTTACCGATTAATATTCGTAGAGGTAATTACTTAATATTATAATATGTAAAACGCTATGATTGTATTTAACTGTGTATTGTTTAACCGTATTGTATATCGCAGGGTTTAAAAAAATAATAATTACAATTATTACGCTTAACACGTTGTTATTTTTTTTTTTTTAATTCCAATTACCTTTAGATACTTAAACTCTATTACCAAAAAAAAAAACAAACAGAGAACTCATATAGCGGCCAGTAGTTATTTTTAAGTATACATTTTTTGGAATTAAGTTTATAAAAATCATCAACACTGCAAGTATAACACAAAATTACATTCGATCGAAATTTTCCGTTTTAAACGTTATGCACACATATTTGAGACCTGCAGTACATACAATTTTATTTAAAATAATAAATTATTTGATAGTTTTAACAAAAATATATTTATAACTTAATTTATTTTAACTATTAATTTCCAGGTTTTCTTTAGATAAATTTTATTTTTATTTTTTGAGGTGGCCTACGCTTAACTATAAATAGTATTCGAATGACAATTCAAAACAAATTATAAAAAGTATAAAACATTTATTCGTTTATTTTTTGGATCTTTTCAAATTTACGAAAAGATTCACACAGTTATGTTTCTTTGAAAATACTAAATACAAAACTTATATACATATATTCATTATTATTATTAAGATTAACTAACATTAAAACTGAGTTTATTACTATCGCTACTAAAAACTGTACGTCTTTGTTTGCACTCGTTTTCGAAATCGTTTAATGCTGCCTGTATTTCTGTCTCTCTCTGCGTTAAAAGTTGATCGGTTTTCACTTTGAGTTGGTCCAGAAACCGAACGCAGTTGGCCAACAGTTCGTTGTAAACGTGTTGTTGTTTCAAATTGGCGTGTTTGTAACCCAAAGCGGCTTGTTTGACTTTGGCGTACTTGTTACGCAGTTTTTCCGACTCTGCCACCGTCACGGCCAAATGATCTTTCATTTCTCGCATCTAAAAAATGTTTAAAAATGTTCAAGTCAACAAAAACGTTTGAAATTGTTCTGAAAAATATAATCTGAAAATGGTGGATTCCAATGACCTCTTGCGCCCAATTTGTCATTATATTGGCAAACTTTGTTCTCTCCTCTTCGATTTGCGCTCGTAAACTATTGGCTTCGTCGGTATTTCCGTGCATTTCTTTCAAGCGTCGAAGTTCATTTGATTTCATCGCGATGATATTTTCCGCCTCTTCCAATTTCAATTCTAAATCGTTTATCTGTAGAAACATTTTAGTGTTTTTAATTATACTCTGTAAACATTTTTGATTTTTTTTAGGAAAAAAATTCTTTATTACGTTTTTAGTTTTGGACGCTAACAATTCTTTAGCTCTTTCAAACTGTTTTTTATGCTCGGCAACTATTTGAATCAATTCTCGACTAGCGTATTCGGTAGCGTTTTGTTTGGCCGCGACACTCAACGAATTCAACTCGGCCGCGTGTTTGCTCTTGAGCTCTTCGATCTTTTTGGCATACATGATTTTTTCTTCATCTGACCCACAAAAAAAAAAATTAAGGACAATTAAAATCCATTTGGTCATTAAAAATAAAAGGTAGTATTACACGTCATCTTACTTAATTTTTGATCGTAACGCATTTCCAATTCGTACAATTCGTTCTTGTACTTATAAACCATTTCGTTGGTCGACAGTTTATGTTTTCTTTCCACGTTGGCTATTAAATGTTCGTAGTCTGATAACTTTGATTTTATCATATTTTCATCCTCGACCACTTTCGCCGAACTCTGTAAGTCCGAATCGGTGAATTTGGATATAGTCTCTTTGGCTAGTTTCAATTCCTCTAGCTGAAGTTGTATAATAATTTCAATTAAAACAAAATATATAATATATTAAACTAATAAATATAATGTGTAAAATATTTACTCTTTCGTCGTAATGTTTCTTTAACGATTCCAACTGCTCTTTGTACGAAGCCACTTTGGAATTGCATTCGGCTTGCAATCGCTGTTCAGTGGCCAAAACTCTTTCTTTCGATTGGGCCAAATCGATTTTAAACTGAGCGATCATTTCTTTTTGACAATTTTGCATTTTTAATTCATTTTTCAATTCTTCGATTTCCTTTTCCAACTAAAAATACTTGTTATTAAAGAAAAACAAAAATGTAAAAAAAAAAAAACAACATTTTCACTAAATAATATAAAAACGTTTATATTCGTAGGTGTAAAAATTTCAAATACAATCGTTGATCGATTGACGAGTTATTCTGATCCAGTTTTATTTGTTTTAAAATATGGCCGCAAAAATAATTTTAATGATAAAATCGAGGGTCCAAAAAAAGTTACCATTCTCTTTTGCGACGAATCTTGACTTTGATTCAGCTCTTTTTTGGCACCGATCAAAGCGATAGCCATTTCTTCTTTTTCTAAAAAAATACAATGGAGACTTTCAGTACCGTTTTAAATGGTTAACTATTCAATTAAACAACTACCTTTCACTACTAATTCATATTGCTTGTCTAATGTTGTGAATTGACAATTTAATTCGTCCAAACGCCTTTCTATTTTTTCTTTCTCGTTCAAACAATTTTCCTTTTCCGAACACACTTTCACGTACATTTGTTTTAGTTCGTCAATTTCTTTTACATATTCTTCCATTCTATTCCTAAAAAAACAATATAGTTTTTTTTTATTTTTTATTTATTACAATTATTGAATTACAAGTAATGACGTGCTGTTACAAGACGACACCATCCTGAACCTATAGAATGTCCTATTATGTTGACAGCCTTTACGCAGACATCATTGGTCGTGTACGTCTTAAGTGTGACACAAATAACACACAATATTAATCGTCACACTCTTGACCTAAATGTTTTACTTTGGGCCGATAGTCACATAAATAAATTACTGTATGTTTTCGTATAGTCTTGTAGTCTTTATTACAAAAAATTTAATATATTAAAAAAATGTGCAAACTGTTTACTTACTGTAGTTTTTTGTTCTCTTCGTCTTTTTGTTTAGATAAGTTTTCCAACGATGTCTGATGATAGTGCATATATTCGTCAACGTCGCTGTTGCTCATCAATTTATCGCCGCTCTTCATCTGTTTTGTCATGGCCGACATATTTTCTTCAGCGCGGATCAATTTACACATGGTGTCCTCCAGTTGCATTTCCAATGTACTTCTAAGGTTTTCACAATCGTGATTTGAGTGGACGCCGCCAGAGAGATTTTTTTCACGAGCGTGTTTCTCCAGTTCTTTCTAAAAATGTACACGATACGTCAATGTTGGAAACACCCGACTAATGGTCGATAGACATCTAATAGTCAGTTTTCAACATGTTGTACTGAAGGATTCCGTAATATTGAATCGATAGCGCCCATCAATGGACACGACCGATCAATGTTTTTTTTTTTTTAATTTGTTAATACCTGCATTTTTTCCATACAATGTTGATAAGTAAATTGTTTTTTCTCCATTTCTGCAATGTTCTTGTCCTTGGCCGTTAACAGCTCGGTTAATTTTTTCACTTCGTCCCTTTGTTTTTGCAGTACGCGCAAGTTATTCTGGTAATCCTCTTCCAATCGGCTCGCATCGCCAGATCCTGCGTGTTTGTCGACAACCAGCGAAGCGCTCAAATCCGCACGCAATTTTTCATTTTCGACCTACGTAAATAAATTGGAAAATATAAAAATAAATCGAGAGAATCTGTAAGCTATATTTACCGTCAATTTCTTCAGTGTACTGTTGAGTTGTTGGTTTTGCTTGGCGCATTCTATGAGTTGACTGTTGAGTTGCGCTACTTCCTCGTAACTGTTCGAGCGACAAAGTCTATCGTTTTGCATTTGCGTCTCGCTCAGGTCTTTTGTCAGGTTGCCAATCAAACGATTGTTTTCCGATATAGTCTGGTGGTGTACTTGCTGTAACTGTTTCAACTCGTTGGCCAATATTGAACAGTGGTGATCCTAAAAAAATTTTAATATAATACAATTTCGCTGTCCCATAAAATATTATTTTTAACAAAAAATAATAATGTATAATACTTTGGCTTTCATTTGTTCCAAAATAGTCTTGTATTGTTCTTGTAAATAATCGACTTCATGTGCGTGTTTTTTTTTCAAATCGTTTATAACAACGTCAAAGCTGGTATCAAATTGTTTACCGCCATTGTTACGATTCAATATTGTAAGCTGTTCTTCGAGGTTGACTATGTTCAAACGCATTTTTTCCACTTCCTTGACCAACTAAAAAAACAAAAAATTAAACACTCGACGATGCGTGAAATAAAATATATTATATGGATTTAACAACCTTAGAGTTAGACTTTTCCGCGACTTCCACTTTTTGTTTCCAACTAGAATTCTCCTGTTCTAAATTTTGAGCTCGTTCTTTTAAATTCTCTAAAGTTAAAATTTACTTTTATCATTTCGGCTAGATTCATTTTTCATTAATTATTATTGATTACAGTTTGCTTAATTTAAAAATTATACTTCTGATCCTTTCAAACCCATTTTTTAAAATTATTTATCAATGATATTATTATTAGGTTAGAATTGTTATAATATTTTGCTCTTTGCTGACGATGCAAACATTTTTTTTAAAATTAATCACAATCTTCAAATGTTTAACATATTTTTGATATTTTTTAGAGCACTACCCATTTTGAAACTAAAGTCACAATACGTGAAAGAAATATATTTTTTTACATAAATATTCTAAAAATATTTTGTAATTGTTTTTCAACTAATTCTTACCGCATTGATGTTGGTACTGTAATATAACGCGTTGACTTTCAGACTCAGTGATAAGTAATTTTTTCCTGAGACTATCGATCTCCATTTCAGCTTGCATTTTATATTCCGATAGATCTTTTTCTAATCTCGCGATTTCTATACGACGCATTTCGTTAAGAGCGTGCAATGTTTCGTGATTTTTTGTGCCCGATATTCCTAGAAAGAATTTTTTTTTAAATTATATGTGTAATTTAAAACTATACACTTAAACGATAACGATTGTTATGTCGAACAATTAGTTTTACCTTCGTAAACGTACTGCTTGCTAACGTTGTGGGCGACCTCGGTGGAGTTTACGGGTTTGTCTTTGACTTGAGGATTGTATTGGGGTATCGGCGACGGAAACGAACCTAATAAATTGTTTCCAAGTGTGCATTATTGCATTAAAATCTCAATCAATAGAAAATTAAATAATGTAATACCAACCATCTTTATGGAAATCGGGTTGAAAGTTTTTGTTTACATTATGTCGTAAGTGACCATAAGCCGGATTAGATTCGAGTAGTGTTTTTTTCCTATTTGGTTTGTGAATAGATTTCTTGTGGCTTGTATTACTTTCCAGGTCTGAAAAATTACAATTATGCACATAAATATACTTTAAAATTATCAAAATTCTAGTTTCACATCCTCTTATGCTTGTCTACCACGCTACTTGGCCATTGTACATTGTACATAAAAGGTTGGGTTGTAATTTAGACAATTACAGCCGGCTTACTTGCAGAGACCTGATACCGACAGCGAGAAAATGCCGAAACATGTGTTACGAGTATATCAACCACGGTGCAACTCAAAACCACACACTCGAACATAATAAAACCACGTTGTTGTTATTCATTGTTGCTATGATACTACGTTTTATAAAAGTCCACAAAAACAATAATCATTTACTAACAGCTTTACTATAATGATAATAATATTAGAGCTTTAATTGTGTTATTTTTTAAAATCTTTAAAATTAAAAAAACAACAACATAAAAACATAAATTTAAAATGAAACTATAATTTTCAAATAAAAATATATAATTTACTTTTAACATAAAAGTAACATAAGATATACTGCCCGACTGTAATGAACCTAAACGACCTCATCATTCACAAATTTATCTCTTTTCCGTTCATATTACAACAATCCACACTGCCCAACAAGTAAAATTATAACCGAAAACCGTAAGTAAAAAAATGGCCATTAAGCATCGGGCACCACACTGTAGGCCTGTATAACGTTGTTTAAAGATACTCATTTAATATAATTTGATTTACCATCGTCAGAGTCATCGCTGCAACGACTGGAACTAATAACGCTCATATTGGCCCCACTTCGGTTAAACATTTCGTCCAACTCTTTGTTCAGCTAAAAACAAAGTATCTCGAGTTATACATTCTTAATTATTTTTATTATAATGTGACAAATAACTGAATTTGTAAAAGCTTTAAATTATCGAACAATAATATACCTCTTCTTGAAGTCTTTCTTTTTCCAAGTGATCTTCTTCGTCGTCTTGGAAGTCATTATTGACTTGAATACAGGCCAGATCAGAACCTTGGAATAGACTCTGTCCTGGATTGTCGTGGCCAAAGGTGTTCATAGCCATTTTTACGACGAAATTTAAAACAAACAGGACTATAATAATTGACGAGAATGGTAAAAACGTTAGAAAATTACACAGTTGACATATTACTATTATAATAATTAACAGCGGCGTTCAAAATGTAGTAGTAAAAAAATTTGTTCGCGTTTTCCATTTTTTAAATAAATCTCGTGTTGAACTGTTATAAATTGCAATTTGTAAATATTTTATTATAATAAATCTCAATGAAATCAATATTGTCATTAAACCGTTATCACTTATCACGGTCAATAAAAGCGGGAAAACACAATTGATCCACTCGACGTTGATAATATTATTGAATTCTTCCCTCTCTTCGATTGCAGTGTTCCTGTAACTATTAAAAGAAAATTGTAAATCATAGACCTATTATAATTTATTACAAAATAGGTTAACTAAAAAATTGGACGAATAGTTGTAATAAACACAAATGATTTAAAAGGACTAATTAACGTAGGTTAAATGTTTTTATACGAACGTTGAGAAATTATCGGTATTCTCCATGGACAAATTACACTTAATAGCATTGACATACTATAAGTATAATAATTAACATGACATGTCTACGCTTAATAGTGTAATACCACGATTATAATAAAGCTCTTTAAAGTCATTGCGACCGTGGCAAAACCAAACAGGCATGCCGGTAAAGGTTTGGCGGCAGCCCGTTATCAGTGTTGGACGTTGATAAAAAGTTGTTCAAGTTGCCCGCGTTGAAATTAAAAAAAAAAAAGAAGATAAAAATTGTAGTTTAGACTTTTGAAGAAGAGCAATTTTGTTTGAATTAAAATAAAATAGGTCGTTTGCTGGAATCATTGAACTTATGAATATTCAGTGATTGGAATACAATTAATAATATTTTTGGCGCTTATGTTTATTTAATGTGCCGTGCCCGTGTTATGAACGGCCGCAATAGCTGCCGTGGCTCGTTCGTAGCGCGCAAACGGGAACTTATCGTCACGTTTAAAGTCTGAGTGAACTTTCGGTCGTGCCATGTGCACAACCTGTCCGCGTTAGCTGTTAGCCCGTGATAAAAGTTTTTAGAATTTAATTTTCCCATTTCATTTCAAGTCGGCATACGTCGCGTGGGAAGTCGTGCGCTGTGCGGTCGCTTTAGGTGTGTTGTTATTATTTTTTAATTTTTTAATTTTATTTAGTTAGTTCACATCAAATCAAATTAGTTTACGCTTAGTTTTTTCTTTAAGTTTACACACATGTCGGGTCCACTCGCCGTGCGGTCGATCGATTAAAAAGCACCGATAATTCCATCGTCGACTCTTCGTAATGACGGAAGATTCGCTGAAACCGCCGTGGTGTCACGAAATCTCTATCCGTAACATGACCGTTTGATGATTTTGTTTTTTTTTAATTTTTTTCTCGAGCCGATTGCAGCAATATTTGTTAATAATTACATGTTTTTTGCTTCGACTAATTAAATAACCGAACCTGACTGCCGGGTCTAGACCGTGAAGGAAAAATAATCAGCGCTGGCTGCTGTTAACGTTTCAGTTAAGAAACAAAAAATATAGAACCGCTGCCGTAAGTAAAAACCTTTACTACAGCATACCAAGTATTTAGTAGTGCTTCTACGTTAGGATCTTCAATTCTATACAAATTACAATTTAAAAACTATTTAATACAATAAATGGAAATTTAATTGAAAATATTGTAACATAGATTTCAGTAGGTATAATAAATATTGTTAGTAGACGAGTAAAGTATTCAATCAGTTGAATAAAAAAAGGCAGTGTTACACATAATCTGCTACAACTTAAATATATACCTAGCTTTTTTTTCTTCTAATATTAATACTTTAAATTGCATGTTAATTTACTTCTAAAAAAAAAAATATTAGATAGTGCAGTTTTAATTGCTTTAAATATTATTCAATTGGTATTAATAATGAGTTTATACACCTTTGTAATATTACTATCAGTGACTAGTTAGATTAAATAAAAATGAAGATTAAAGTATTAATTATACGACATAAAATAGTATCTCAGTGGGTTGGAACGTTCAATGTACGTTTATTTATTTTCCTACTTTTTTTTTAAAAACTAATTTTTAGAAATTTAGAACTTAGTATAATTTTTATATATTTTTTAATGTATTTTTATGTTATTGTTATTTTTATTTTTATTTTCTATAAATTATGTTTTCTAGTATTTATGAGTTGAGAATATTGAAGTGAATAATTTAATTTTAAATGATTTAATTTTCTTAAAAAACTTCCTCTTAACAACTTAATTAGTAAAAAAAAAAAAATTGAAGTCATTTGCCTTTCATAGTTTTATTAACTTAACTTAGTTAATTTATTTTTAAATATTAAGTTTACCATAATAGTGTAGCATAGAAAAGTTTTTTTTTACTGATATATTTTGAAGGCAATAATTTTTTTTTCTTATTTTTTATTAGAACAGTTATGGCCTTTTATTAAAAAAAATTGGATCGATAAGTTTGATGTCCTTTAAATCAACAATGAAAACTATCAGGAGTATTGACGATACTTCAACCAGCATTGTTGCCCTTACTCAAAATTTGTTTTTCATTAATGTATCAAGTCCTAATTAATATAATTATATTCATATCATTTATAATATCTGTCGTCCAAAAATAGGTAATAGGTCAAATTGAGTTAAAATACCACTAGGTATTGACTATTTTATTTTCTGATATTTGTACATATTATATGAAAATGGCTATATTAAAAAGTGATCAATACACTACATCATTACAAATTATGAAATACATAACATTATTAACGACTAAAATAAAGGAATCGAGAAGGTTAATATTCTGGTGGCATGCGTAAATGGTATTATGAACTCGGCATATAACGAATATTAGTTTAGATTTTTTCTGGTACTAGTCCAATTTGAATTTTTGCCAAAAGCCCATTTTCTGTCGATGACAATAGCCTCTGCCGGTCGGAAATGTCTTTCATTTTAATTTAGTCACGAGTTTTATTAATCGTATAATTTCTGGACATTACTTAAGTTCTAAAAGATAATACCTTCACCATAAAAATATTATTATGTATTAAAAAATTAATTATTTGTTAAAAATATACATGGATGTGGTATTATAATCAAAAATTACAACAGTTGTTTATTCGTGAGTCGTTATCATTTTTCCTCATTAATAATTATTGCCATTGAACTTTGAAAAGCCCAACAAAACCTGTAAAATATCTTAACGAGAACAAAATAATGCTAACTCAGTAAATTATTTTACTTTTCTGTTGGTTTACATCACTTAATAGATTTAGTGCTATTTTAAACCAACAAAAAATTGATTTATTAAAAAAAAATTGGTCACGGATTCTAATTAATTAAAAAAAAAAATTGTATTAAATAATAATAATGAGACTATTTAAGCTTTTAAATAAGAGTTTTCGATACGGCTCGGCTGATGTGGTTTTTAGTTTTCTCAATTACTGAGGGGGAAATCTATAAAAAATGTATTTAAATTTCCAATACCTTTTAGCTCAGGTTTTTTTATTGGCAACTATTGAAAATTATTCAAATCTAATTTAGTCATAAATTAATTAAAAGTAATTAACTTATATTTATAAAAATCGGTCTTATAAAGTACCTTTTAATCCACAAAAAATATATTATTATTTTATTACCACTAGAAAACAATACATTTAAATTACACTTAGGCATTTATTATTTTTAAAAAAAGTATTGATCAGTTTTGTTTAAAAACTATTTCAAAATGTGTCAAGTAATAAGTACATTTTTCCTAAAACAAAACAAAAAATTCACAATAATAACATTTCAATTTTGTTGTATTATTTTCGTCACTTAACGTGTCACGCTCGTTTTTTTGGTGAATAATTGTTTGAATTTGTGTTGAATAGATACAAGTGCGTTTGGTAACATAATATTATATATTAATATATATGTATACCACTTAATGATTATTAGTGTATGATATGATAATACGATAAGTCGTTGGGTAATTCAACAATGCAACAACGTGTAATCTACAAAAAAAAGTAGGTCAAAGGTTTATGTCGAGGAAGATAAAACAAGTAGTTCATTTAGTAGTTAGTAAAAATGAAAAAAAAACCGAAGCACGTATAGGTAATTAATATTATGTTGATAGTTCGATTTTAACAGTTCTTTTTATGGTAGCTCAGTATCATTAGTATTACCTGTGTTCTTTTTTTTCCGGTTCGGTATACTTTTTTAATGTTGTTAATTGTTTTTAAACTAAAATTAAAAAAAAAAAAATCATAAATGTTACATAACAATACCTATAAGTTTTCCCGCCGTACCTACAGCTATAATTATAAAATTAAAAAAATAGAGGTACCTTTCTATCATTTTCGTCGATCGTTTCTAGTTGCGAATTTTAAGTATTTTTTTTACTTGATTTATTCTTTTGGCCACACCTTTGGAGTCCAAAGACCACCCGTCGCATCCCTGTCTATAGCTTATAATGGCCGTTCCCCGAGGCTTGCGATAATTGCCAAATTTTTACTAGACTGCGAAATTACTATAGTAAGTATAGTAATAATAATTATCGCACACGAAAATGCAGTTTTAACAAGTTTCATTTAATATAATAATAGCAATATATATTAAACCCGCGAGAGGGCATAGGAAGAACACAGTTGTGTACAATAGTTGTCGAATTTTTTAGATATAAAAAAAATTAAATTTCGACGTGTAAAATGATAACTGATTAGGACTTTTGTCATAACTGCGTTCTCAAAATGTGCACCTTTGGTTGTGGCCAAAATCCGTTAGCTGAGAATGTATTGTTTTTACAGTAATATGTTTTTTTTAATTGTTATGTTTGGATCTTAAACCGATTTCTTCACGTGGGAAGTCTATGGATCAGAAATCGTACCTTAAAGCTAATTTTGTTTGCCCAAAATTAAAAAAATTCATCCCTTCTCCTTCTAAATTGAGAAATAGTACATATTTTTCTACTTAAAATTATGATGTACTATACATTTTCTAAAAGTAATCTAATTAGTTCCAAATTCGTATGGAATACACTTTAGGTATAGTACATACAATTCATAAGCTTACAAACCAAGTAAATGTCAAAACCCCTTAGCCGGAAAGCTCTTTCTATCTCTTATAGTTTAAGAGAAAATTGAAAATTAAGCGTTATAAAATCGTAGCACGCTGACCTTTTTCGAATTCGTATCATTATACTACATGGGTATGAAATCCTACCTATGTCCTATGTTAAACCTAAGACAAATATATATCTTCTCATCTTTGGTGTGTAGCATTTTTTTTTTTTTTTCATTTCAATTACCATACTTTTTGATTTTTCAAGAAAGTAATAGGTAATTAATATCTGAACAAAATTTGTCTGGCGAATGAAAAAATGTTGATTATTTTAATATTTAACCTATTTATTTCGGCCGTAACTTGTTTTTTACCGTGAGTTCGTATGGAAATGCTTGCGGTTTTTTTACTGCTGTGCTGGAAACTTATTATATTAAATTTACCGAGTTTTGGCTCTCCATCGCAAAATTAATATTAATTATCATTTGGAATTCGCAGTAGTCGACCGTTAAGCACTGTGTGATCCACCGCAGAGTTTTCAGAAAATCCACACGAGTGAATAATTAGCCAATGTAACGTACCTGCCTTACTATTAATATCTAAGCAGGTACTTATTAGTCGGTATAGGCTGTATATAATACATCATACCTACTGTGCGCTCAGATATTTTTTTTTAATTGCTTGTGATCGTTATTGTATTTACTACTATGATTAATAATATTATATTATAGAGACTTAACTTGTCATTTGTTACTTGTAATAATTATAGTGTCGTTGTCATTATCGAATGCTTTATACAATAATGACAATAATGGCGTTGTATAGGTTAATTAGATCCGTGCTCTTATCCACGATGACGATTAGGTTAAACAGGATAAAAATAAAATAACCTATGTTATACAATAGACTATAACAGTAATATCTAATCGCCGTAGACTATTGGATATTGGCCTTTGTAATTTTAAACCGGTTGATAAAACTCTGATCTGGCTTTTGTGTCGTCTCCAGTGCGTTTTAATACATTTATCCAGTCTCCGTTCGTTTTGACACCACACACTCGTGTCTCAATTATAATAAAAATACTCTTTGATTAAAATATATGTAAGTATAAGGAAGTGGTTCGTGTAGTGGTGATCCGGTTCGGGACGATTGAACGACAGTCCAACAACGAACATTGTATTATTTTATTAGTATAGGCATTTAAAAAAAAAAAAAAATTAAATGTCATTGACCCTTTGACGAAAAATAACCCTATCCGACGACGGCCTCGAAGTTTAATGAGCAGCTAAGGATATTCGCATGAGCAGCACGGTAATCCACTTTAGTTAATAACTAGTAATATAACCGTTGTCAATTGGTCAATACTCGTGTCCAAGCCTAAGTGATGTTAAAATACGGTATTTTATTTTCCCATAGGTATTACGTACCGCAGTAAATTACAAGTATTAAAATAAAAAAAAATAAAAAAATATATATATGCATTTTATGATATATTTATGGAAA